ACCACTGGGTACAGGCCAGGGACAGCCCCCAGGACCCTGCCCTGGAACCTCTGCTGTAACAGTCACCCCAGGAGTGAGAAATCGGGGAACAATATGTGCAGCATGCTGTGAGGTCAGCGGGCTCTATTATTTCAAAAAAAGAAAAGCGAACAACTATATTTATGAGCTGCTTCCTCTTCACTGCTTTGGCCAGACAGCTAACAAACTTTTGCCGTATAACCTGCTGAATGAGTTACTTAGTTTTAGGAGGAAAAAGCAAAGGCAAGTTTTGCAAAGTAACCGGCAGCAAGATTTCTATCTAGAGATAGACAACCACCGCCCTCTGCTGGAGAATTTTATAACTGCTGCCAGAAAAGAAAGAATGAAATGCAGGTGGTTGTCATTTGACAAGTGTCTAGCTAGGGCCGCTGACTTTCTCCTTTGGACATATGATTGCCTACAAGGGCGGGGAGTGGATTGGTTTATATGACCATTTTCTTTCTTATGTAGTCCTCTAAGAGTTTAGATATTATTTGATAATGATTAAATATTCCTGTTGCTTCTCTATAAGCATAGAATTATGAAACGTGATCAGAGGTTAATGACAGAAATAGCAGAAGCAGATTCTCCGAGGCCCCAGTTTGCAGATGGCCGGTCGTGGGACTGACTGCATGCAGGCAGTTTATTCTGGAAGGTGATCCCAGGGACAGGGGCAAGAGAGGAAACAGGAGGGAGGGAAAGGCGCGTTATTGAGTTGGTCACTGCCGTGGGCATCTGGGGTTCGGTCCCGATGGCACTTTCCTGGGAGCTTAGTAGAAAACATCCCTGAATTCTCCGAGAGACCACGTGGTGAGCCCTTACCCACATGTTCCCATCCCCTGATGGCCAAGGCCTGCCCCGAGGGGCTGTACGTCCCTTGGACTCAATGAGCGTGTGTGTGGGGGCTTTTGCAGACGCCCCCCACTCGGTGCTGTGAGGTCACCCCTGTGCAGAGCGGTGGGGTGAATCCAAGGTGGCGAGAGAGGCTGTCTTGGACAGATGGGCTCTCTGGCTTCCCTGTCTCCTCCTTTCCTGGCTTCTGTCTTTGTTTTGCTGGAGCTGTTTTGCAGTAGTTTCATTGATTTCAAAAGATGGCACAACGGGCCGGGGGCGTGGTGGCTCACCTGTAATCCTAGCACTCTGGGAAGCCAAGGTGGGAAGATCGTCAAGGTCAGAAGTTGAGACCAGCCTGAGCAAGAGCGAGACCCCCGTCTCTACTAAAAATAGAAAGAAATTAATTGGCCAACTGAAAAAATATATATAGAAAAAATTAGCCGGGCATGGTGGCGCATGCCTGTAGTTCCAGCTACTTGGGAGGCTGAGGCAGGAGGATAGCTTGAGCCCAGGAGTGTGAGGTTGCTGTGAGCTAGGCTGACGCCAAGGCACTCACTCTACCTGGGCAACAAAGTGAGACTCTGTCTCAAAAAAAAAGATGACACATGGCAGAGGCATAGTGACAACGATCTCTTGAGCCACTTGACGGCCAGCCAGACAGGTTGCCCTCCATGCCCACTGCATACTCATCTTCCTACTTGTCACTGCCCTCCTGGATTGCCTGTGCTTCTTGGCTGGGTTGGACACCCTGCTTTCTACCCTGTCCCTTCTTTTGGGTTTACTCTGTTTTGGGGACATCCTCCTCTAGCGCTTCCTAAGAAAGCTACTTTAGAACTTGCATGCCAGGAAACATCCTTATTCTAGTCTCACAGTTTATTAAAAGTTTGGGAATCACATTCTTTTGCAATTTTGGAAGGCATCACTTGATTTTTTTTAATTCTAGTGTCGTTGAGAAGTCCAAAGCTGAAACTCTGATTCTTGAGTTTTTTGAAGTTGGTGTTTTTTTTCCTTATCCCACTACCCTCCAACCTAAGCTTGAAGTATCTTCTCTTTGCTTTGGTGTTCTGAAATTTCACAGTGATGTGACTTTGCTGTCGATTTTATCCGTGGACCAGGGGTGGTGGCTCATGCCTGTAATCCCAGCACTCTGGGAGGCCAAGGCGGGAGGATCACTTGAGCTCAGGAGTTTGAGACCAGTGTGAGCACGAGCAAGACCCCGTCTCTACTCTATTTATTTAGAAAAAGTTAGCCGGGTGTGGTGGTATGCACCTGTAGTCTCCAGCTCCTCAGAGGCTGAGGCAGGAGGATCCCTTGAGCCCAGGATTGGAGGTTGCTGTGAGCTAGGCTGACGCATGCACTCTAGCCCGGCAACAGAGTGAGACTCTGTCTGGAAAAAAAAAAAAAGAAGAAAGAAAAAACTACTTTCCCGTCATCGGTGTTTCTGCTGCATTTTCTAGGAGATTTTCCTCAATTTTAATCTAACTCCTTTATTGAGTTTATCATTGTGCTTATTTGCAAAGTGGAGTTACTCTCTAGGCTTGGATGCTTGCAACCAGGCTTTTCACCCACCCGAATGTGCAGTCCTACGGAACGCCTGATGCTTTTTTTTGGTTTACAGGACTGTTTCGTGGTTTTTGAGACAGTCGATATTTCTGGTCCTTTGACAGCTAAGTGCCTGTAATGTTTCCAATTCTTTTCGAACATAAAGATGCTCTCACAAAGTTCCAAAATCGTCCCCTAACACTCGGGTTCCACCAGGGAGAACGCCAGTTATCATATCTGGCAGACAATGAGGAAGAGCCAACCTCTGTGCTAGCTAGCAGGCAGTTCTGGTTGAATCTTACTGATGTGAATCTTCTTAGATGTAAAAGAGACAACGTCCCTCAAGGCAGAGAAGCCGGGATTAGATTGGGCCCATGCGTAGATGTCACCCCTGTAGGGCTCAGGTACCTATCAGGATGGGTGATATCATGACGATGTTTCTTGATGAGAAAATAAACTGTCTTTGCTGAAAACTCCTTGGCCTGTATCTTAAGGGTCTTGAATCTTCCACTTGCTGATTTATAAAACAAAACTTATGTGCATCTTTGGCAGAGGAAGTTCCCCAGATCTTTGCTCAAAATTTGCTCCTAAAACAATGACGTCACTTGACTATCCCAATGGTCTAAACAGGCAGTCTCTTTGGAGACCTGGGTTCTGGGAGAAATGTATTGTTGAGCTGTACTGGAGGGTGGTCACATGTTAGTATTCTACTTATAAAAATAAAATGTGATGTGGAATTCACTTCCGAGCAGTCCAGGGTGTGGGGAGGCGTGTGTGGGTGGCGTAGATGAAGCGAGATGGGCCGTGAGTTGATCATTGCTTTAGCTGGGTGGTGGGTTCGTGGTGGTTTATCACACTTTCTCTTGACTTTTGTTTAAAATGGTTTAGATTAAGCCAGATGCAGTGGCTCACGCCTGTAATCCTAGCACTCTGGGAGGCCGAGGCGGGTGGATCGCTCAAGGTCAGGAGTTCAAAACCAGCCTGAGCAAGAGCGAGACCCTGTCTCTACTATAAATAGAAAGAAATTAATTGGCCAACTAAAAATATATAGAAAAAATTAGCCGGGCATGGCGGTGCATGCCTCTTCAGTCCCCAGCCTACTGCGGCGAGGCTGAGCAGAAGGATCGCTTGAGGCCCGGAGGGTTTGAGGGTTGCTGTGAGCTAGGGCTGACGCCACAGAACTCTAGCCCGTGCAACAGATGAGACTCTTCTCAAAAAAAAAAAAAAAAAAAAATCTCTTAAAATGTGCCATTCTTGATTAGATTTTCTGCCGACTGCCTGGTTGGCAAGGTGGAGGGGCAGCGCCTATTAAAGTTGATATTGCACTACTAAGAATGGCAGAAAACGTCAGGCATTGCCTGCAAAACACTTTCCTATACCCTGTTTTTTGAGGTGGTGCGTTTGAGAGCTGAAATGAACAGCCCCTTATGGAAACTGGACACCTTCTTTCTTCCAACACCCCTGGCCCAGACCTTTCAAGGCAGGCCTGTCGCTGTGCTCATAACAATCTTTATCATCTCTAAAAGCGAGTCCTTAGTTGATTGCTGCCCCAACACGATTCCCCTAATTTGTTTTAAAAAGAAACAGAATCAAACTTGAAATAGGTCTTTCAAGAGGAACGAGCGAGGTGACGCGGGAGGACAGCCATTCATTAGGGCCCAGGTCTGCCTGGATTCGGGTCGTGCCCCGGGGCGGCTGTCACGCGGAGGAGGGTGTTGACCTGGGACTATCTGAGTTTGCTGCTGCAAAGACGATGGCTTCTAAGTGGAACCTCTCTCCGCACGGTGACCAGGCATAACATTGAGTGAGAAAAGGTCAGAAGCTGCCGGCCATAGATCTGTTGACAGAAATTGCTCGAACTTCATCAAAAAGCCAATAAATGCCAGGGAAGGGACTGGAGCCAGAGTAGCTCATAAATTCCTTCTCCGGGGGCCTCTGCAGGGATTTTGGACAACACACCTGCTCTTCCTTCCCCGAGAATGTGTCTAAATAAATTCCCAGAGAGCAGCCTAGAACATTCATGGGGTGGTTCGCCCTGTTTAGTTTGATGGGGGGGATGTCAACAGGAAGCACTCCGGCATGTGGCAGTGGGATCCTGTGTTTGTGCTGGGGACTGTTTGCGGCTCTATCTTTACTATGGTTTTCACATGTGCCATGTCCCAATTTGTGACTTAGAGCTGAGATCTCCTCCAGCTTGGAGAGCCAGAGCTTACAGGGATGGCGCTATTTGCTCACTAATGAGTCAAAGTGGATTCTCCCTTGTGATTCCTGCAATACTTACGGCCTATGCCGTTCGTCTAGCAGCCAGTCCCGATGCTTCATTGCAACAGGCCTTGTGTTGCTAAATCGTGTGCACGAACACTTCTGTGCTGTGAGGGAACAGGGTGCTCATGAGTGCTCAGGACGAGCCAGCCTCTCGACTCAGTTTGGGCGCCCCCCCAAAAAAAAAAAAACGGCAGACACTGAATCGAGGACTTGGAGTTGTAGCCCCAGCTGCTAGGGAGGCTGAGGCAGGAGGATCGCCTGAACACAGGAGTTTGAGGCTGCAGCGAGCTGTGACCACGCTACCACACTCCAGCCTGGGCGACAGAGCAAGACCTCGTCTCTAGATTGCCAAGACATAATCATCTTTAATCAAAAATGTTTAGAAAGCTTAAAAATCGAATTAGCCAACTGTTTTCCCAAATTAGAAGAATCGCATTCTGTCTGGAAGCTGAGCACAGTTCGGAAACGTGTCTGGAGGGGGTGACCCTCCATGGGTGGGGTGTGTGTGCCACATCCCTCCCCCTCCCCCCAGTGCTTTTATCCTCACGTTCGGTCTGGGGTTCCACATTTCCCAGACGCCTGCATGGCAGGGAAACTCGCGACAGAAGTACCGGGCCCTCACTCCGTGGCCATCAGCGTGGGCAAACAAAGGCAGAGCTAATTGATTTTTTTTTTTTTTTCTCTTAGCTTTACAGTGTGGTTGGGAAGAAAAAAATTACCAGTTTCTATAAATTAAATAGATTAAATAATCACATAAGATTATTTGCAAGGCACAGGCATGATTTTTTCTCTTTAGGATCCAGATTTTCAGGGTGGAGAGATCTGAGATGTTTCAGCTCTCTGGAGCGACCAGAATTACCTCCTAATCAGAGGACATTTCTGAATAGGGTCAGGTGGCCGCCCTCCTTTCTTGCCTCGATTGGGCGGTGGGACCTCCTGCTATGTGAGGGTGGCCGCCCACCTAAGGCTCTGGGAAGGAGAGTCCCTCGTGCCGGGCCTTCTGCCATGGGTGGCCGGCGGCAGGGGCCCGCAAGCCTCCCACTGAGTCAGCGCCGAAGTTTCTCTCCACCCATCCTCTCCCCATGAATTCAGGGCTTTTATTGTCATAAATATGACAATATTAATGTGAAACCAGTATTAATAAGAGCAGCCTGTCTTTGTCATCTGTGGATAGGCGGCGGCAGGGGCTGGGACCAGGAGGTGGGCTCGCCCCCATTGGGGCTCTGTTCCCTCTGGGCTCAGTGTGACCAGACGGGTGGCCTCTTCTGCAGGAAGGCCGAGATCCCCTCCTGCCCGTCCCGCAGGGCCAGGTTGTCCACCATGGCCTGGGAGCTGAGGCAGTAGGCGGTCTTCAGGTCCTGGGGCAGCTGCTTGTAGAAGGTGGCCTTGCCCAGGGACACCACGGGGCGGCTCAGGGAGGCGATCTTCGCCGCGATCCTCATGGTCTCCTCCTGCAGCCGCGGCTCCGGCACCACCTTGCTCAGCAGCCCGTGCAGCAGCGCGTCCTGCGCGGAGATGGGCTCCCCGGTGAGGAGCATCTCCAAGGCCACCTGGGACGAGGGGGAGGGGACACAGGTGTCATTAAGGTGCTTCCCTGTGACCCACCCTCTCCACCTTCACTCTGACCACCCTGTTAAAACCGTGAAACAAACCCCAACACTGTGTCCCTTTCCGGCTAAATTTCTAACCTTTGCACTTTTCCCCATTTAACATACTAGGTATTTTACCTGTTAATTGTGTATCTCTTTTGCTTGCATGCAAACTCCAGTGGGGCGGGATGTTTTATTTTTTGGAAGTCTTGTTCATGTCTATCCCTCCAGCACTAGAACACTTTTTGCACACAGTGAGCAAACTACTAAATATTTATGAATGAATGAATGAGGACAAACGGCGCAGCACAAATGACACTTGGTTCCTTTTTTTTTTTTTTGAAGCAGAGTCTCTCTCTGTCACCCAGCCTAGAGTGCCGTGGCGTCAGCCCAGCTCACAGCAGCCTCAAATTCCTGGGCTCAAGCGATCCTCCTGCCTCAGCCTCCCGGGTAGCTGGGACTACAGGCATGCGCCACCATGCCCGGCTAATGTTTTCTATATATATTTTTAGTGGATCAATTAATTTTGTTTCTATTTTTAGTAGAGACGGGGTCTTGCTCTTGCTCAGGCAGGTTTCGAACTCCTGACCTTGAGCGATCCTCCCGCCTTGGCCTCCCAGGGTGCTAGGATTACAGGCGTGAGCCACCGAACCAGCTGAGGCTTGGTTCCTTCGAGGCTAAGTCAAAAAGGTGGTGCAGCTTCCACCGGCTCCATGCTGTCGGAACTGGGGTCTTAAACCGTGTGCTTTCCGAGGCTGCGCTTCTCAAACTCTGGCCACGCCAATCGCTGCTCAAGTGCCGTCTGGGGCAGGCCTGAGACTCAGCATGTCCCCCAGGGTCCCTGGGGTTTGTGCAATGAGGCTTTAGCTCTCTCCAGCTTGGAAATCCTGCTCTGTTCTCATGAGACTCTAACTAAGGCAATCCGATTCTACAGACACACAAAGCTGCGATGGGTAAACCGGGAAGCCAGGCTTCCCTTACCTCGGAAAATGACTGGTGTGGGGAGAAGGGGGCTCTGATTTGTCATGTGAGGTCCGCTGAGGCCAACTGCTCGGGGCCTGGTTGTGCCAGGGGAGGGGAGCAGCTGCACCAGGCGGCGTGCTCACGCGGTGCAAAGAAGATGCATTAGCGCGCTGGAGGAGAGGAGCAGTTTGCAAACAGGGAAAATTATTCCCGCCTGGGCTGAGGGTGGCTGCAGCGCGCAGCTCCACTGCTCGGTTTCCGCACTTGGTGACAGATCACGGCCCTGGTGCAGCCCAGCAGGCAGGTCCCCGGGGCGACCAGCAGAGGGCGCCGGAGACCCACGCATGTCGGCTGTCACGCCGGCCGTTTCCAGTCCCGGCCAGTTTGCAGAAGCACCTGCCGGGCACACCATGGCTGCACGTGGGACGCGCGCCCGTCGCCCACGCGTGCCCCGTGTGCCCCAGCGTGGATGCGCCCCTACGCATGCGGTGACGCACAGACGACTGGCAGGTGTTTCGGGTCGGGTTTAGATTTTTATGAATCCCGATTTTTCCTCCCCAAAAAGCCACATGGGTCAGATCTGCAAATGCAGAAACCTGGCAAAGGCCTTGAGTTCCGCAGACTTTTCCTCCTGCAAGTTTCCCTTTATCAGTAACTGAGGTTTCTGCGCATTCGTGTGGACCCCAAACCACGACCCCGGTTCATGGCCCCAAGAAGCCCAGCATTAATGAGCACGAGGTGCAAAGCCATGTATTGACACGACCCTGAACCCCTTTCTGAAGTCTCAAGTTGACCGATTCTAGGGGTCAGAACACGAGGATCAGAGAGTAAGATAATCCGGGACATTCTTTGTCCCATGTTCTAAGAAGGCCTGGCTCTTGCCAACACTGTCTTTGGAGGGGAGGGGGGGAGAGTAAAAGCTACTTTGTGCCTTATAATCTCCTGCCCTTTAATCTGTGTCACTGGACAAGTTTGCAGTGCGGTTCCCAGGACTGGGCGTCCTTGGAACTTCAGGCCTGTTTTTGTCCCATCCCCCACCCCCTTTCTTCTCAAAAACTAACTTAAAATTTGATAAATATGGTGTTAAGTTTCTGGGAATCAATTCCCATCAGCCTTGATTTCAAAAGTTTGTTTTGAGAAAGAATAGATTCTTCTTGGGACAGCCCTGCTGATTTAAAGGTTTCAGATGCCGGACTGTGGAACCTTCCAGCATGTCAAGTGTTCAGGAGGACAAACAGCTAACCAGGCAGGCTAACCGAACCGGTACAGCCACCTTTCACTGTACAAAGGCCTCATGATTTGATTTGCACAGTTATAGGATAGTTTTTATGAATAAGCTCTGACGATAGATTTGTATTACCATGTTTTCATTTAACATCCTGGCACGAAATAGGGACTTAAGAAATATTTACTGAGTGGATGTCTTTCATGATTGATTGAGTCAGGGTCACACTCTGTTGCCCAGGCTGGAGAGCAATGGCACATTCATAGCTCACTGTAACCTTGAACTTGTGGGCTCAAGTGATCTTCCCGTCTCCGCCCCCCAAAAGTGCTGGGGTTACGTGTGTGAGACACCGTGCCCAGCCAAATATCTACACATTTAAGGTAAATGTCTGTCTTGATGGAATCAAAACAAAACACCCCCTCAGTCTGAGACATTTCAGCAAGCTGTCACCTGTGGCCGTACAGAGCTCACTCCAGCCAGTTTTCCTAAGCGTGGGAGCTTGCAGGTGCACCGTCCTGAACCTCTCGGTCCTACTGCTGAAGTCCCCTTGGGTCTCATTTCTTTTGTGCCTTGGGCATGTGAGCAACTGCCAGTTTTCATAGTTGATGCTAAAACAGACAATACGTTCTAGAAAGCAATTTAGATTTCCTGCTTGGTGTAGTATATGATTCTGCCCCCCTTTTTACAGATATCCAACTGAGAACGAGAATGTACTTTTTCTAGAACAAGGGCACTGTTGGTTTATACTTAAGGGACGTTCCGTAAATATTATTTTATGATGTTATAGAAGAAAGGAAGCTTTGTGACGAAAATGGACTTCACTGTAGTTGGCAATGACAAAACCATTTTGTCAACGTGGCTCCTCCCTGGGCAGATTCAACATACCGAGCAGAGGATATTCGTGTTCCTGAAACGCAACTGTGTGTAAACCCAACACACTCAGTAAATCGGCTACTTTAAGTCCTTTCTGGAACAAGACAGTTGGTTGATGAACAGTGAGCCCGACACTACTGTCCCAGCCTCTCCATGCTGGCAGGATGTCAGCACACTATCATATCTCACAGGCAACCATTCAGTGCGACAAAACTGATCCTCAACTGCATTTCATATAAGATTGCAAAAAATATGTGCCTTTATGAAAACAAAACAATTAAAAAAATCTAAGAAGTTTTACCGAGGGAGGATGCTCGGAGTCAGGAGTCGAAACCAGCCTGAGCAAGACGCGAGACCTCGTCTCTACAATAAATAGAAAGAAATAATTGGCCAACTATAATATGAGAGAAAAAATGAGCCTCGCATGCCTGTAGTCCCAGCATACTCGGAGGCTGAGGCAGGAGGATCGCTTGAGCCCAGGAGTTTGAGGTTGCTGTGAGCTAGGCTGACACCACGGCACTCACTCTAGCCTGGGCGAACAAAGTGAGACTCTGTCCTCAAAAAAAAAAAAAAAAAGAAAGAAAGAAATAATATAACAATGCTG